CCACCATGCCCAGCTAATTTTTGTATTTTTAGTAGAGACGGGGTTTCACCATGTTAACCAGGATGGTCTCGATCTCTTGACCTCGTGATCCGCCCGCCTCGGCCTCCCAAAGTGCTGGGATTACAGGCGTGAGCCACCGCGCCCGGCCTGATTGTTGTTTTTAAGACAGACTCTCATTCTGTCGCCCAGGCTGGAGTGCAGTGGTGTGATCTCGGCTAACTGCGGCCTCCAACTCCTGGGTTCAAATGATTCTCCTGCCTCAGCCTTCCAAGTAGCTGGGATTACAGGCCGTGCCACCATGCCCAGCTACTTTTTTGTTATTTTAGAAGAGACAGGGTTTCACCGTGTTGCCCAGGCTAGTCTTGAACTCCTGGCCTCAAGCGATCCACCGCCTCGGACTCCCAAAGTGCTGGGATTACAGGTGTGAGCCAGTGCGTCTGGCTTTCTCCCTTCCCTCTCTATGGCAATTTCCAAGTGATTTTTTGAGCTCATAGAATTATTCCCTAAATTAAAACCTTCCCCTTTGAGACTGAGCAACATATGGAAACCCTGTCTCTCCAAAGAAATGATAATAATAATTACGCAGGAGTGGTGGTGCCTGCCTACAATCCCAGCTACCCAGGAAGCTGAGACAGGATTGCCTGAGCCCAGGAGTTTGAGACTGCAGTGCCCTGTGATCAAAACCTTCCCCTCTACCCTTAAAGTAAACCCAGACACTCTGCAAGGCCCTGTGTAGACTGGCCCCTTTCCTTCTGGGTGCCACGGTGCTGCCTGTCCCTTGCCTGCTGCACCAGCCTCTCCCATCTGCAGAGCCTTTGCACTTGCTCTTTCCCTCTCTGTGATGTTCCTTTCAGCCCCTCACAAGAGTGACTCCTTCCTGGCCATTCTGATTTCAGCTCACATAACACTTGGTCATAGCAGCCTTTAGCAACCGTGTCAGCTTGAGGTGCCCTCTGTCTGTTCATTTCCCTCATATCCCACAGCACGATCCATGATGGCCTCGCTGATCTACTGCCTGTCTTCCCCACTCTCCAAGACCCAGCTCCATCCTGGTCAACATTCTACTCTCAGAATCTATCAAAGATCTCAGGAAAGGGTAGGAAATCAATTCGATATTGGTTAAATGAATAAATGAATGAATCTGACTGCCCCATCCGAAAGCCAAGCATTACTTCCCTACCCAACTCCCCACCAAACAGAACCTCTGCTCACCCCCAAGACATGATCATGGGGAAACCATAGCATCTAGAACTTTGAATGCCCTCATTTCCTCCCACTCCCTGTCTCACCAAAGCCAGGCAAGCGTTAAGTTCCATCACCTCCACCCCCTGAAATGTTCTTAAGAGCTGGCTACTCCCCTCCATGCTCCAAGCTCAGCTCGGGCCCCTCCCTTCTCACCTGGACCACCATACCAGCCTTCTCCCTGGTACCCTGACCTCCTGTTCCCCTCCCACACTGGCCTGACCCCGACAGATTCTTCTCACAGCTGTGTTCATGCAACTTTAGCACCATGCGTAACAGTCTCCCTGCGCCCTTCACCCTCAGGACCAAGTGCGAGTTTCTCAGCCTAGAATTTGAGGCCCTTCGTGAGGTGACCCAGCCACTTTCCCACCTCACCTCTCTTCCTGTGCTTCAAGCACACATGGCATCTCACAGCCCCCTGGCCAGACCTTGAATTTACACGGCTCCATACGGAAAGGCGTATGTGCTTTCCTTGCCCTGGGAATTCTTCCCCTTGACTACCGGCAGCCTTCCCCTTAGCCTTCTAGAATTATGTCTTCTGACCTCTCAAATTGGCCAGGTGTCTCCTATATGCCCTGCTCACCAGTCCACCAGCTCCTCTGCTTAAAATCCTCCCTACAATATAACCCCCTCAGCCTGGCTGAGGCCTCTCACAACCTAGCCAAGGCCACCTTTCCCACCCTTGCACCTCACCCAACCTGTTCCAGACAGCTGCAGCGAATCTTTCTGACGTCTCCATTTACACCTCAAATCTTGGGCCACAGTGACCGATTAGTCATGTCCCCAAACTTCAGTTCACACTGCGTGTTCATATCCACGGTCTCGATGAATCCTCTCAACGGTCCAGCGAGGCTGGCAATCAGATGCACTCCACGGCGCAGAGCGGGCAGAGGCCACTCGGATCTCCGGCCAGAGTGACCGAATGACCCCAGCTCCAGCACCCTCACCTCCCTCTGGCTGCCCAAACCCTCCACAGCCTGCAGTCTGGGTCCTACCTCCTTCAGGAACATTTCCTGGCCACCCCCTCTTCTCAAGGTCCACTATTCATCCCACTTTGTCTTCCCATGCAATAACCCCTTGTCCCCTAGGGGACAACTAGGATCCACGAAGTCCACTCTCAAGGCTTTCTGCCCTCCACTTCCTATACCTCGTCCCCGGTCTCCGCAGCCCCTCCCCGAGCCTTCCTCGCAGGACCTCAGTTTCCAATGCCCACTGCCCTGGGGGCCACTCTGTGCCACACCACAAGTCCTTCACTTGGGCAGGACTCTTAAGAATCCTGAACCTGCTGAACCTGCTCACTCCCCGGAGCCCGGAACGGTCGCCCTCTCCCTACGCAGCAAACTTTTAAGTCCGGAAGTAGTCGCAGGGACGACTTCTGAAATACTCCGACTTCTCCAGCAGCTTCCGGGTTCCGAAAGCATCACGAAAGCACTCCGGCCAGAAACGCACACGCGAGAGAAAGGTTCCTGGGTCGCGCACCTTGCTGCTGCTCCACACACAATACACGGAAGTTAAAATGAAATCACAATTTGGCGCAGTGCTGGATGCTGAGGGAGGGAATACAAGAGAGGTGGCTTTTGTCCAAAAAAAAAAA